TTCCAATCTTCAAAACCAACCGGGTCAGGAGTTTTCGGCCCGAACTGGGAAGGGCCTTACCGCATTCGAGGGGAATCTCGACTTGGTACCTTCGAAATTGAAGATATGTCAGGAAGGACGCTGCCTCATAAGTGGAACATCGAACACTTGAGGAAGTACTACTAGTGATAAGACTGTGTTCCGATCTGACCTTAATGTGTTATAGCGAATCGATTGTCCCGATCTGATCTCAGTTGTAAAGTTCCCTAAGTGATGGAATCGCCTTTGTAAAGGGTGGTGTAATTTATCTTAGTAATGAATTTTCAGTTCCAAACCACATCAGTTAGTGAATAGTTTCCTCAGTGCTTCAGGAGGTTCATTTAAGCGATCCGATCGTCAATTATTAGCTGATTAACATCAAGCGGCTCTTCATGTTTCCCTAATTGGTCTGATCTCAGATTATTAATAAGTTGGCATTAAGAATCGCTTCATACTCGCTTCAGTGTTTAAACTTATGTTAACTTAAGCGGTCCGGTCCACAGTTATTAACTGGTCATTGTCGCGAGGCAATTAGTCTAACGTTTGTTGTTCATACAAGTATAAACAAAGAAAATACAAAGAAGCAGAAGCCCAAATACTTAACAAAAATTTCTCATTTCATTTCATAAATTTAAGTACATTGGGGGCCGAAGCCATTACAAGATAACCCTAGTCTGTTGGAGGGACTTCAGCACTGGCCGCCTCCTGGGCCTTCGGAGCCTCCTCGACAACCTTATCAGGCCGACCTCCAGTTGGCCCCCCAAACTCTGCCTCCAGTGGAGAGATGTCCAGAGTGAGATGCACCTCCTTCAGTCGACCCAGTAAGCTTTGGGCACTCCATGAGGCCCAGAATTTGGCGAAGTCATCATGCAGGGGATGGTCTTCGAAGTGGTCAATAAAGTTCTCGACTGCCACCTCCCCCGCAGACTTCAATTCCTCCTTCAAAGAGGCAATCTCCTCTGACTGGGCCTCTGTCTGCTGCCTCAGCTCTGCATTTTCTCTGTTGGAGGCCTCCAGAGCATCGGTGGCGAGCTTGTGGTGCTCATTGGCGTGATCAAGTCGTCGAGTCACAGCAGCCACTTGGCATTCCACCTCATAGAGCTCTTTCTTCAACCGCTCCACCTCTGCTTGTGCAACAGTAAGCTGAGCCTCAGCAGCTTTCTCCTCCTCCTCTGCCTTTGTGGCTTTAGCCTGGGTCGCCCTCACAGCATCCCCATAATGCATCGCCTCCTCGAGGCGCTTAACGAGGTCCTCCATCTTAGAGTTCAGATCCTTCACCAGGCCCTCGAGCTGGATGCTTGTACTTAGGGCCCGAGCCACACAGGCGCTGTTCGTAGCCACCAAATCTTCATCCGTGTAGGAGGCGGTGTGGTCCCTCCACTCTTCTGTCCAATATTTGTTGTGGACCACCGCCACCGCAGCTGTTTCGGGAGGAAGAGCCTCCAACACTTCCCTTACGGGCTCCTCAGGATTGGTGCCTAGGAAATCAACCTCCTTTGAGGGACGGGGCCTTTTTCTCCTCTGCTGCCCCGGAGCTTGATCAATGGGCACCGCAGCAAGGGGTGCTGTGTCCGGAGTAGCGACAGGCTCAGTTGGAGCGGGGCTTCTCTCCGGGAGGGCTACCCCCGTGGGAATAGTTGTCTGCCTCAAAACTAGGGGTGGTCTCTCCACAGTTGGGCGTCTGGGAGGGGCGGCACTCTTCTTGCCCTTCCTTCGGAGGTCAGCCTCCGGGTCCTCCTGAACTTCCTCCTCCGTCGGAGGCTAGAGCCTCTTACTGGCCTCCACCAACTCCTCCATTTGCTTTTTATACGAGGAGGAGGAGGCCTTCAGTGCCCGTGCCTCAGCCATCATTTTCTGGATGGTCTTGAAGTCGAGGCGCACTGGCAGCTTCTTGTTAAAGTTATCTGCAAAGAAACAAATAAGGAATTAGTACAAGTTTAGGGAGTTCGGAATAAAAAGTAAGGACTTCGGTCCTATTACCTTGAGACGCCATTAAATCGTGAGTAATGAAATGGATGTTCTTCTGGATCAGCCTGTGGTAGGACCTCTTCTTCTGAGGCAGCTGATAAATGACACAGATAGTGTCGAAATCCTCCGTTGATAGCTCGCACCGAGGAAGAGAACCTACAAAAGAAACATAACTGTTAGACACAAGTCGAACCGAAGAGAAAATAAAAGAAGCAGTATACTCACTAAGTGTTGAAAACTTCATTGGAACTGTAAGAGGCGCCAGGGGGTCCCCCTCCATTGTGTCCCATCGCCCCGCTGCCCAACACCATGAGCTCTTCCATTCTTTGATGGAGCTCAACAGATCGACCACGAATGGAGTATGGGAACCCCATGACGTAAGGTAGTACCAACCCCGGGTCTTATCCCACCGGCAGTAACCTTGGGAATATAGAGGGTCTGGAAAACGGAAAGGGGCATCTCCACCCCGAATGACGCCTCTTTCCACAACATCCAGGAGCCCACCATCTGGCTCCAGGTGTTCGGATTGAGCTGCGTCGGGGCTAACCCATAGGACCTAAGCACCAACCTAAAGAATGGGTGGATAAGCAGCCTGAGTCCGGCCTTAAAGATCGCCTCACTAATGGCCACACAGCCCGGTCTTGGGTAACAGGCTCTCTCTTCCGACTCGGGGAGGATTAAGTCTACGCTGTCAGGGATCCTATACTCTGTCCTAAGTCTACCCAGGTCGGTCTCCCTTAATTTCGATGGGTAGTCCGACGCCCCCCAATGCACAGAGGTATCTGGTGGGCTATCTGGTCGTTTCCATATGTTCTCCCCCCCATTATTGCCCCAGCTATTTCTGAGGAGGTCGCCACAATGGGCTCGTCCACCCTCACTATTTCTAAGCCCCTCCCTGAACCAGAACTCCCATCCGAGGCCATTCTTTAAAAATTTAAAAGCCTAAATAGGTGCTGAAACTTACGGGTTTGGAGGTTTTCCTAGCAGGAAATGGTGTAAGGTTTCTGGAAGCCTAGTTTTCTCGCCGGAAGTCTAGTTCTTTCTCGTCGAAATTGCTTGCAAAACGCCGGAAATCGCCAAAAATTTGAGAGCAAAGTATAATTCTAGTTTTGCAAAGGTAGAAAGTCTGAGAAAACCCCAGAGTCCTCATTTTATAGAAAAAACAAGTCCGATCTCCACCGTTGAATTCAAATGCGATCAATCTAAGCCGTTCGTCGCATCCTCAATCTAGGCCATTGAAATGAAACGCCAGATTTGATCTATGCCCAAGATGTCGCTGTGACTTTCACGCTAACTTGAAACGCGTCACCTCGGTTACAACCAGCCGTCGATAATAATTAGTAGCTGCAGCAGCCTTTTAGGAGAATGGGCATGGCACCCAACTGTCACCTTGAAAACACGCAACAGTTGTCAAATCATTTGACGTTTGGGTCACCTCGAATTGAGCTCCTCCTCCAACTTTACAAAGTTTGGACGCACCTGACGCGAAGGCCCTATTGGGTCATCGCCTCGGACGCTGCGTTCCCTCCCATGCTTTACATAGTTTCAGCCATCTCCCCCCGCGTCGACCTTTTGGGTCAGCGCACCGGTGGCAGATGAGCTCCTCCTCTAACTTTACAAAGCTTGGACGCACCTGACGTGAAGGCCCTATTGGGTCATCGCCTCGGATGCTGCGTTTCTTCCATGCTTTACAAAGTTTCGCCATCTCCCCACGCGTCGACCTTTTGGGTCAGCGCACCGGTGGCAGATGAGTTCCTCATCCAACTTTACAGAGCTTGGACGCACCTGACGCGAAGGCCCTATTGGGTCATCGCCTCGGACGCCGCGTTCCCTCCCATGCTTTACAAAGTTTCAACCATCTCCCAACGCGTCGGTCTGTGGGGTCAGCGTACCATATTCATGAAGTTTCGGTGCACCTTACGCGACGTCCCATGCTGCTTGACCGCCTCGAACGTTACGCACAATAGCGAAGCTTTGGCACATCTGCCTATTATCATAACCTCGATTGCTGCAACAGATCAACCCCCAAAACTCCCATAACTTGCGGTCCGGTCAGGAAAGCAAATCCACGCATGATATAAATATTCATCTCCGGACTTGGGGGACCACTGTTATGCCCCGATTATATACGCCTCGGATACCGAAGTGTCATCTCACCTCCGAAGCCGAGATCAAGTGGATCCCCCGCAGCACCATTTATTCCGACCTGAAAACGACCCTTCCGAAACTTCTCCGAATTGATATAGCGATTCCTACTACTGATCTGCCGAAACATCTCACCTCTGAGGTCGAGATCAAGTGGAACCCGATTAGAAGATCCGCCGCCAATTTGAGATTTGTCCTACAACTAAGGCTTAAATTGATTTGATGTCTTCATGAGGCTAGTTGATGTGACTTATCAACTTTACGTCAATTCAACTAAGAGGAAACAAATTGTCCGCCCACTCTACAAACGCGGCTGACTGACGCTTATGAGCAGACGCTTCATACCGTCAGATGTATATACGCGTTCCACATCCAACGGTTCATACCACCTGTAAATACTCAAAGTTTGACAAGAGGCAAAGGTAATGAAACTCTTAATACAGAGCACTCCATAACAAGTTTATATATTCTCCTCCCCTTTTATTGATTGATTTGTGTAGCGCTTGACTATTTGTTGATTGCGTAGGAAGGAATACGTGGAGTAGCTTTCAGTTGGCCACGTGGAGGGACCAATTTCCAAGTTCAACAAATATGAAAAGAACAATGAAGTTCATCTCACTGTACAGAAAACATCCCTAGTTTCGTCATCTCAGGAACAATTTTTTAAATCCTGAAGGATCAAAATCTAAACATCAGTACCAGATTCCAATCATATTGAATCAACAGTTGCTTCAATCCACTCCATTTCATCAAACCCGTTTTCCCTCTCAAGGGTCAAGGCCCTCTATTCTCTCAAAAAAATCCACGCCCTTTAAGTGAGATCGTTAATCTGACGACCCTATGTTAAAAAACCAAATCAATCAGTTTGTATGGTTTATTTATTTGGGCGTATCAAAATTGCATTTTTGTTGTTTGATGAAATTGCGGACCCAAATTTTTCTTCTTATAAATTGATGATCAGATGGTACTTTATGAATGATTTATTTAACGAGATTATTGAATTCGATGAATTTATGAGGAGAACTTTTACTGTGTAGGATAACATTGTGTTTTCTATTGTGCTGAAGGCATAAAGTGAGTTGAGAAATTTTAGCGGAGGAAGGAAATTGCATGGTTATATAGTCAAGTTAGGGACACCTGATAGTTTTATGTTAACTGGCCTTTGTTGATATGTATGCTAAGCGCAGGAAAAAATTGCTGGCAAAATTTTTGAATAGAAACGTTATTTGGAAACTGATGATTTTGGGTAAGTGTAGAATGATTGTGGTCAAGAAGGGTTAGTTTTGTTTAACCGCATGAGAGATGGCTTGGTTGAAGGAAACGAGTACACTTTCATGAGTGTAGTGACTGCATGTGAAAAGTTAGGGGCATCGCATCAGGGAAAGTAGGTGTATAGAATATGTGATGAAGAATGCAATCGAGGTGTAGTTACTGCTCTTGTGGATATTGTATGTGAATTACAGGGCTTTTATGGATGCCTATTTGATTTTTGATGAGTTTTCCATTATTGATCTTGTTTCGTGGACTGCCATGATCATTGGTATGGCCGGAGTGGTTATGTAAAAGAGGCATTGAAGTTGTTTACAGACAAAAAATGGCAAAGTATTTTGCCCAATGCAGTTACCTTGGTGAGTGTACTTTCTGCTTGTAATTCGACGTTGGGTGCATCAGTTCATAATCTTGGGACTAAGATTGGATTAGATGATGCTAGTGTGACACCCTCTAGTGGGCATGTATGCCTAGAGTCATAGAATAGGAGATTCAAATTATTTATTTGAGACGTTTTCTCATAAGGATGTGATTGCTTGGAACTCTATTACTAGTGGGTATGCTCAAAGTGGATTTGCTAATGAGGCACTGAAATTGAATGAGATCAGTTACATCCAGCATGATTCCACAGCTATGGTGGGTAACCTTTTTAGCCTGTGCTTCCCTCGGGGATATCAGATTTGATTCGTCTCTTCATGCCTACTCTATCGAAGAAGGTTTTTGTCAGCCAAGAATGTCAATGTCGGTATAGCACTTCTAAATTTGCCAAATGTGGTGATGCAGAATCTGGTCGCAGTGTTTTTGACGGGATGTCAGAGAAGAACACAATTACATAGAGTGAAATATTGACTGCTATGGAGAACACGAGCATGCTACCGATTGCCTGGCGCTTTTCAGCGATAGCTGCGATATGCTGAAGGAAAACATAGAACCAACTGATGTAATTTTCACAAACTTCTTATCCGCTTGTGACCATACCGAAATGATAAAAGAGGGGTGGAAATACTTCAATACAATGTGCAAGGAACAGTGCCGGTCCCGAGAATTTTGAGGCCCTAGACGACTTATCATTATGCGGCCTTTGAACATAAATTTTTTACAAACATAAAAATACTTTAAATTTTTAAATAAATAATATATTTATATTTTAGAAGAAGATTGGGTAAAATCTATAAGATATAATTGCAAAAAATAAAATAAAAATTCCGACAACTCTGGAGACAAGTTTAACATAATATTTAACTAAATTATCCCGTTTTTGGAAAAAAAAAATTGTTATGTAAGTAATTATCTTCAAAATTATTAATTAAAAAAAATCTTGAATGAAGTGTAATTTAGAAATCATGAAATACTTTTTAAGAACCATTATTTGAAATCCTTTGAATATTGTAAGGATGACTCGTAAAGAGAAAAATGATTTTCAGTTATAAAAAGTACAAAATTTAGTTACTAGATTGTAAAATTGTGAGAAATATATAACTTTTAGATGATAGTGTGATGAGTTATGATTATTTAGTGATTAAAAACGTAACTAGATTCTTATGATTTTGATTCAAAAATCTTTTATTAAATTTGAGATTTTGAGGGATTAAAGTAAAAATAAGTTTTGAGGTCAATAATGTAGTTGTACCAAATGTGTATTTATTGGAGTATCAAAATTATCCTATCAACATTGGACTTATTCCGAAACTCGTGATAAATGACACATTTTGGATTCGAGAAAATGTTAATTTGGATAAAGCAACTTCAAGTTGTAACTCATTAAAATAACTACTTGATATGTATGTAATATTAGTTTTTAAATTAAATCAGATTACGCTAATGACATTGAGCTCGTTTGGTAGCTCAAAATCAATCATGTTTATTAAACTTGAGAAATATCAATTTGACTAAGATTGTATTAGTTAGAACAACCAAAAACACTGTAGTTAAATTAATTTTTATATCTATCTTTTAAATTTAATTGGACTTCTTAAGTGAATTGTTTTTCATTTTTGAGGCCCCATATGATTGGAGGCCCTAGGCCATTGCCTTGTTAGCCTTACCCCAGGGCCGGCCTTGGCAAGGAATATGACATTGTTCCCTCCATGAGGCATTACACATGCATGGTCAATTTATTGGCTCATTAAGGCGGGCTATGTTAGGAATCTACTTATACATGCACAACGAAAAATTAAAATTATTTCGATTCCCACCGAGGATCCCTTTGTGTTTAGATAGAAATCGTGATAAAGATTGTACCTTTAACGAATTCTGTAAACCTTTTACTTTTCTTTTCGTTCTAGTAATCTTGATTCGCCACCCACAGCTGTCCAATTGTCCAGCCTCCAACGGTAATCCACATAGAGAATAAGATTGCAGCTATCAGGGTTTTTCCTCTTGTGCCAGCAAGAATAATGAAAACCATATGGACCTCAAACCCTAGCCATGTATTTATATAAATCCAAACGGGCTCAGCCTGATTCGGTCCAATATTTAATTAAACCCGATCCGTAAATTAATTAATCCAATTAATTAATTCGGGAATATAAATAACAAATCCAATTAATTAATTTATACAACGATTGTTAAATTAACCAATTAGCAATTTGCAATCTTCCAATTCTCTTTTGTGTGCGACCCATTAGGTTCCCAACCACGATGCCTAACGACGTGAAATATTATTTTGATCTAATCAAAATTGATAAATTAAAACACCATTTTAATTTATCGTCAATTTGCATTCGCTGTCCCTGATTGACATCTAGCAATGTGTCAGGGCAATACGTGTGACGGAAAATGTCACGTGGTATGACAAAATCAAATTCGTTCGTTTACCGTGAAACTATAATCCCTTTGTCAATATGATCCGATCAATTACGGAATATAAAATTGTGTCAATCCCGAATATCGATTATATCTTTCACGCTACTATTAAGTCAATATAAGTCGAAAACTCATTTTCAACTTATGAGTACACCTTAGCCAAGGATTTTGTTATCGACTTAATTGAATGAAATGCAGATCATAATCTCCTACTATCTAAGAGTGACGAATCCTTTATTGGTCAATCACAATCTTCATACGATTCTTGACGTACCCGAATGATGTCGTATTAGCGGCCCTTTGCAGAGTAACATCCAACAACGCCAAAGTATGACTGTCCTTATATAAGATACCATGACGACCTCAAGTCTAAGGACCAATTCCACTACCGAACATTAGAGATTAACCACTGACACTCAAATAGTTATCGATGTGAAATCTCTCAGCGGGTCTCCAATGTTTTGTTCTATAACAAAACATCCACGTGTCACCACACTTTAGCTTGTGAGATCAGCTACTTACTTCACAAGTAAAAAATGCCACACGTGATGGTCTATCCGTAATAACGATATCCGTATCTCGTTATTACTTATGACCACGGACGATTTAAGATTCAATCAGATGTAATTTGTATCTCACAATCACAACTCCTTGTGATTAACAAATTACGAAGATTTGAATCTACGGACTCTATTATTTATTTAATTGTCTATTCATTAAATAATAGATATACTATTAAATTGCATTAATTATATAAAAATATTTATGTCCAAAGTTGATTGGACTTGGGGCATAATACTTACAGCTATATATAGGAAGCCTTTGTTTTTATTGAGAAAATGGTGATTCAACCTGATGTTGCTGTTTTTGGTGCTTTTCTTCATGGATGCAACATTTGTTCTAGGTTCAATCTTGGGGAAGTGGCAGTGCGACAAATGCTCGAGCTACTTCCTCATGATGCAAGATAAAGGGGTTTGAGGAAGTCACCAACATCTAGTCAGGTAGACATGTACATCAATGTCGACTTATATTCATAGATGGTGCCATCTCTACATTACTTGTTGCTTTATGCTAAGGACACTTACTGCGTAGGCTATATCCGGTCTAGTACAAACTTGAGCATACATCAAGCTCCCCACAGCACTAGCATATGGGATCATCTTTATAGACTCCCTTTCCAACTCATTCCTTTGACATTGAGTTTTGTTAAACTTATCTCCTTTTATGATAGGTACATCACCAGGTGCACAATTCTGCATATTAAACCTTTCTAGAATACGTCGTATATAAGCTTTCTGAGAAAGTCCCAATAAACCACGATTTCTATCACGATGTATTTCAATGCCAAGTACATAGGAAGCTTCTCCAAGATCTTTCATCTCAAAATTAGCAGACAACATTTTCTTTGTCTCGTGAAGCAGCCCTAAGTTACTGCTAGCAAGTAGAATGTCATCAACATACAATACAAGGAAAATAAAATTTCTCCCACTGGTTTTAAGATAAATGCATTGATTAATAGTATTTTCAACAAAACCAAGAGATGTCACAACCTCATCAAATTTCAAATACTACTGTCGAGATACTTGCTTAAGTCCATATAATGATTTGTTTAACTTACATACCAAGTTCTCTTTTCCTTTCACAACAAAACCTTCAAGCTGTTTCATATAAACCATTTCAGAAAGATCTCCATTCAAAAATGCTGTCTTAACATCCATTTGATGAAGCTCCAAATTATAGTGTGCCACAAGAGCCATGATAATTCGAAAAGAATCTTTCGA